TGTGCCACCTCCACGCGGGACCCCAACCCCACCGTCGGGGTCTCCCTGTGGGCACCCCCCGACTGCTGCACCACGGGGCGCAGGGACCCCCAAAACGCTGCCCGGCTGAGCACCCAGCACTGGGGCAGCATTGAGGGTCCAACCCGGCCCGGCAGGCAGGGAAGGGGACCGCAAGGGGGTTGGGGGTGACAAGACTTCGCCCCAAAACTTCGCACGGCGCAGCAGGGCTGGCAGCGCCGCGTGTCCCCGTGTGCCGGTGCGCGAGGAGGGGGTTGGCGGCTCCCTGCCGGTCACCGCGCCGTGGGGCAGCCGCGCAGCCTGCAGCGCCCCCCCCGTCCTGCTGCTGTCCCCCGCGGGGCCCCCCGGGTGGGGGGGGGGGGGGGGCCGGGCCCCCCCCCCCCCCCGGTAAGGATTTGGCAGCGTAACCGCAGTGCCCCCAATCCCAGGGGCTCCGCCAATGGAGGACGGAGCTTTCCTGTAACAGGCGCTCGCCGGTCCCATTTGCTAGGAAATGCTCTGATTGCCTTTAATAATTAATGGCAGCCGGGCTCGGGCTCTGGGCAGCGTCGGGAGCGGAGATGCAGCCATTACCCCCCCCCCCTCCCTCCCCACCCCAGCGCTGCCCTTTGCTGGGGCTGTGCCATGTCCCCAACCAGAGCCCTATGGTTGGCATCCAGTGTTGATTCGGGGACCCCCGCCCTCGGCTCTGCCCCCGGCTCTGGGGGTCCCTGGGTACCCATGAGCTGGGGGTGGGCTGCGGGAGAACCCCTGCACCCCGCAGGCTGTGGTGGGGGTCATTTGGGGGCATTCTCAGGAGCTGTGAGCTCTGGGGACGGCCCACCCGGCTCTGTAGCTCAGCTCTGACCCCCCCAAACCCTGCCTCCCCTGGAGCTGCGGGGGGCTCCAGGCCTGCAGCGGGTTGGGGGTCCCATGGTGGGCCCCGGCTCTGCACCTCTGTGCCCCCCAGCTCTCTGCCCCTGCTTTCTCTCACAGCAGTGGGGTTGGGGTCCCCCCGGGTCTCTCCTGACCACAGCATCACACGGGAGCAGCTGTGGCAGCCTGAGCTCGCAGCACCGGGGGCCAAATTCCTCCCCCCCCCCCCCCCCAAGGCCCGCTGTGTTTTCGATGGCGGAAGGGGGGGGGTGTTTGTACCTCCGTGTTTGTTTTGGCCGTGCTGTCCCACTGCTGCTGAGCAGCTCCGGGCCCCCCACGCTGATCTATGGGGCGGGGGTGGCGGTGATCAGCGCTGTGGGGACCACACGCCAGGATGGTGGCTGATGGGGTCACGGCTGCCATCCTTACGTAGCTCTGCATTGACCCACCTGGCCGCCTTATCTCTGCTGTGCGTCCCTATGGGGACAGCAGCGATGTCCCCAGGGGGGTCCCCGTGTCCGCTGTGCCCCACGGCTGCCATCCCCGCATCCCTGCACAGAGCATCCCACAGGCACTGGGGACATCACTGCCCACCCATGGGTGACGGAAGGGCCCCGTGGGGGCGCCTCCACCCCACACTCACCCCCACCCCATAACCCGGCAGCGGGGTCGGCCTGGCCAGAGCTCACTTTGAGAAGCAGCCGCCCTCCAACCTGAGGAAATCCAACTTCTTCCACTTCGTGCTGGCCATGTACGACCGGCAGGGGCAACCCGTGGAGATCGAGCGCACCTCCTTCGTGGACTTCGTAGAGAAGGAGCGGGTGAGGCCGGGACCCCCCCCCTAAAAAACATGGGGTCACCCCAGGGATGGAGCTGCACAGCCCAGGATGGGGTTGGAGGCCGCGTGCGGAGCCCCCCCTCAACGTCATCCCCGCTTTGCAGGAGCAGAACGGCGAGAAAACCAACAACGGGATCCATTACCGCCTGCAGCTGCTCTACAGCAACGGTGGGTGCCGGGGGGGGCGGGGGGCGCGGGCCGGGCTGACCCCCCCATCTCCCCTACAGGGGTGCGCACCGAGCAGGACCTCTACGTGCGCCTCATCGACTCCATGTCCAAGCAGGTAAGGCCAGGGGTCCCCGGCGCCCCCCCTGCAGGGCTGGGTGCGGGTGGCTGCGCCGCTTGGGTGCGTGGGGAGGGGGGGGCACGTGGGTGCATCGCCCCCCCTCCCCATGCCGTCCCCACAGGCCATCATCTACGAGGGGCAGGACAAGAACCCCGAGATGTGCCGGGTGCTGCTGACCCATGAGATCATGTGCAGGTACTGCGGGGCCGGGGCCCATGGCAGCCTCTCTTGTTTACCACCAGCACCGCCGTGTTTGTGCCAATTAGCGCTCCGTGCCAGAGCGGCTAATTGATCTCCAGGAGCCGCGCTAACGAGGCCGTGGCCGAGCCCCCCCCCCCCTCCTCCTCACCGCGTTCCTATGGGGGCTGTGCCACGTCCCCATGGGGTCACAAAGGTGTGGGGCTGAGGACTCCCCTGTGCTGCTGGGTCCCGTCGCAGCCCTGTGCCCAAAGATCCCAAATCAGAGCCTGATGTCATCGGGGGGGGCTGCGGTGGGGGACCCCCAACCCCTGCGCCGTGACACCGAGCGGCCCGTGTCCCCAACCTGCTCCATCCGTGTCCGTGCCCCCAACCACAGACGAGGACCCTCCCTATGGGGCAGGACCCCCT